GCGGCCTTCGAGGATATAGCTCAAGCAAATAAAGTCAGTAAAGAGGCAGGTGACTTGGAAACTGGTTTAAAGGAAGGGATTCTGCTCGCCCCCCACCCTTGGCCTTGCCTAGACTCTACCCTCTACTCAGTACCATCTCTGCTCAGCTCTGTAGGCATCAGGGTGGGCCCTGCCTCCCAGGGGCTCTGGGTGTATCTTGGGCTCAGGAGAGACCTGGTTGGGTGCTCAGGGGTCATTATTTTGGGTAGGGACCAAAGGGAGAGAGAAGCAACCTCCTACCCCTATCTCAGTCTACCTTCAGAAATCAAAGCAGCCCAGACCAGGGGGAAAAATGAAGGCCAAGGTGTAGGATTCCAGGAGCTAGAGGGCCACCACACTGTGGGGTGGGGGATGTCAGGCCTCCTGTGGAGATGATGATGGATGTCCTCACCAGCCCCAGGGTGAGGAGGAAGGCAGACAGGTCTGACCCTCTACCTATGGAGGGTACCTAGGCACAGGGAACAGTAGAAGCAAAGTCCCAGAGGCCAGACCTCCACACACATGCCTCACACAGGCGGTGGACTGCGAAGCCTGGCTCTGAAGAAGCTTTGTAGGCCCATCTGAGGTCACAGGAACCTCGGGTCCCCAGCAAGAGGCTTCCATGAGGAGTGGTCAGCCTACAAGTCTTTTCTGCTCACCCCTATGGCTCCATGCCTTGTCCCCCCTACCACGGGGACCCTGCCGCGCCATTTCTTGGGCCACCATGTTAGCACTCTGCCTCAGTTTCCTATCTGTAGACACCAGTTCTTCCCCCCGAGTGGCATCATGGTGAGTCCTATGTGCTTATCTACAGGAAATGCGAGGAGCAGGGCCCAGCACACAGTGGCGTTGGCAACTTGTAACTTTCTACCCCAGAGACCCTGTCCTTGTGGTGACACCAGGCAGTGTGGGCCCAAAGAGCAGCACCTTCCCCAGGGTGGGTCCTTCAGGAGGCCCTCCCTCCTCCATAACACTGGGCCCTGCTGCTTGCTTCCTAGATGGCTGACGCTCGCCAGAGTCACAGCTGTACCTCCTCTGCAGGGGTGCCCAGGCGGGCCCTCTCAAGCTCCACCATGCCCCCTCCCACATTCCTGGCCTCCCCAGGGCCCTTCACGTGAGGATCCCTGTCAGTGTCCAGGGACTGAGCCCGCTCCTTCTGGACCTTGACTCACTTTGGGCTGGCAGCACAGGAAGAGGAAACATCAATTTGAATGTGGAAATGACCCACAGTCATGTCATGCCCAGTACTGCATTGCCCACTGCAGGAGGGAGATGGCCAAGAAGTGACTGGAACATGGCTGGGTCACAGCCCTCTGGTGCCAATCCATATTCCTGCCACTCACAGTCCCTGGGGCGAGGTTCCTAATGCCACCTCTCTAGCCTCCAGGCTATGGATTTTTACTCACGATGCACAGCCTCAGCTGCCAGAGGAAGTTCCCTCTTTCTCTCATTTCTGCTTACCTGGCAGGTCCTGAGACTGATAGGATCTTAGCTAAATTCTAAAGGCGACCCTGCTGGGCCTCGAGGTTACTCCTGGTCAGTACTGAGCCTAGGGGAAGTAGTGCTGCCCAGCCCAAGCCATAGCCCAGCTGCTAAGAGGACCCCCGCCTCCTGTGCTTCCTGCTGTCTGGCTAGGGTTTCCTGCCAGGAATGCAGATGTGGAACCCAGAGACCCTCAGGCCCTGCTTCCTGAGCTGGTTAGGCATGAACAGCAGAGGCCAGGCGCAGGCCTCAGAGGGCTGGACCTGGAAGCCAGCCCTGGTGGCTTCATGCCAGTCCTGGTCTCGGGGGATGGACCCAGAAGTCCTACCCCTGCGTGGATGAGAGATGCCCAAAGCCCACAGGTTCATGGAGGTCATGGGACCCCAATTCTCAGGTCTCCCCACTAGCTACTGTGCCTAGCTAAGCCCAAGAGGCAGGCCTGGGAGCAGGCCAGGCTGGAGTCAGCCAGGATCTAACTAGACTTGGACATCGGTCACCCAGGGCGGCAACTTGACCTGATGCCCCTCTTGGGTTTGCTCAGCCCAGAGGGACCCATGTCCAACTATCCTTTCTTTTCTTGGTTGCCGTTTTGTATGTGTGCGGTTATTTATGAGCTGGTAGAGCTTTCGGGTAGGAGGCAGAGCCTGTCATGATGGGGACAGCCACATATCGGGTGGAGGAACATCCCAGCCCTGTCACCCACTACAGGGCACTGTAACAGGCCACAAGACTTCTGAGACTGCCGTATACAGTCCTCTCCACATCCCTGTCTGCATGTTTTATTTTCTTTTATTTATTTTTTTTTAAAGAGAGAGAGAGAGAGAGAATTTTAATATTTATTATTTTTTAGTTTTCAGCGGACACAACATCTTTGTTTGTATGTGGTGCTGAGGATCAAACCCGGGCTGCACGCATGCCAGGCGAGTGCGCTACCACTTGAGCCACATCCCCAGCCCCCTGTCTGCCTGTTTTATAGAGGAGAAAACGGAGGCACTTCTGCTCCCTGGAATGGGGATGACAGAGGAGGTGTGGTGGCAGCCTCAGCCCAGCTCTGGGCAAGGCCTCTGTGGCAGCAGCTGGTATAGTGGGCCCAGCTTGGGCCACAGTCCCCCCAGTCAAGTTCTGGGGGA